TATATATATATACAGTATATATACACACACATGCATCTTCAATAAACAAGACAAAAAAATACAAAATTAATCTTTGAATAGCATAATGGAGGATGAAGTCATAAATAAAAATAAGAGGAATTCAAAGACTATTTACTATAAAAAAAATACATACATTTAATATATACATATAAACAGCAACCTCACGAGTGTCAAAAGGTAGAAAATATTTAAAAAAGGTCTTTAGGTCAGTGAATGCTGTGTGAACACAGCAAAGTGTGTGAACGCTGCCTAATTTCACTCATTTAATTTTTTAGTGCACCGATGCCGTACCTCATTGGAATTCACTCCAGCCTGGCAGAGGTACGACGCTTCCCTCTTCCCATGGTTTTCTTTCACACCAGCCCTTTGTCACACAAACACTCACATTACAGTACGTTCTGTGTGTTTGTGTGTGGTAGAGAGTGAGGAGTCGAGCTCTGGAGGACGTGGTCATACTGAACGTGGACACCAACACCCTGGAGTCACCCCATGAGGACCTGAAAAAGATCCCGGCCGATGTGGTGAGACTCTTTTCCTCCTCGCAGATCTCTGACACACAAAGGATGAAGGTTTACGGCGAACTCTGTTGCTGCAGGTGGCGGGACTGAAGGTCAGGCTGAAGAGACAGGCGGCGTCGGCCGGGTCAGGGGTCGCGCACGCTTTCCTCCGAGCACAGGCTCTGCTGTTCGGAGGATACAGGGATGCCTTACGGTCGTCTGATGTGAGTGACACACATTCACGTGAAAAAATGAAAATAAAATATTTTGTTTACACAATATATGTGTGTGTACTGTGTATATTTATTATGTATATATAAATATGCACACATGCATATATATATTTAAGAAAAAATGTTTTGTTTATATATAAAATACTTATATTTATATATAATATAAATTATATATGAATATAAATATATACATGTAAATATTTTTAAAATATATACAAATGTATGTTTGTGTATTTATATATACATAATAAATATACACAGTAATTTGAAGTAAAGTACATATATTTTCTGTTGTTTTCTGAAAACATCACTGGCTGTTTTCTCAAAATGAGTCAGAAACAGTCCTAAAAACATAGTGAATTTTTGACTTTTTAAAACGTTATTAAAAGAGATATGGAAAATCCCCTTTGTAAAATCCTTTAATATGTCAACGAAACGAAAAAAGAATTGTGTGCCTGGATTTATTGAATGTTCATATTTCTGTTCTTGAAATATGTGCAAATTAGCACATTAAATTAGTGCCTTATTTATATGTTTAAACTAGTGCTGTCAAACGATTAATCGCGATTAATCGCATCCAAAATAAAATATTTTGTTTACACAATATATGTGTGTGTACTGTGTATATTTATTATGTATATATAAATATGCACACATGCATATATTTAAGAAAAAAATTTTTGTTTATATATAAAATACTTATATTTATATATAATATAAATTATATATGAATATAAATGTATATATACACATGTAAATAT